GGGTTTCATACACTCAAAACATCATTTATAATCATTACTCACCTCAATCCGGTCAAATCTCTAGCCTGCGGCACCTTTGCCTCTCGAATCGGCCTTCACTTGCGTCGAATCTTCCTAAAATTAGAATCACGACATCAAAATATGCTAAGGGAACGAAGCCCAAGCAAAAATAATCAATATACCACACAAATCCTAAAATTAGCAAAAGCCGACCCCCAAGCCCACGTCTTGGAATTTGAAAATTTTTACATTAATGGGCTCCTCATCTCCCCACGAGTTCATACATACCAAAAGTATCAAAATCCATCCACAAATGACCCCTCAAATCCCAATTTCTAGGTCTCCAATTTCAAGCCCTAGTTCTTCAATTTTTAGGCTTAGATTCCATGATTTATTAGGTATATTTCACACTAGAATCGAGTTTTAAGTCTAAGAATCTTACCTTCAAGTGATTCCCCTTGAATCCCTCTTCAATCCTCTTCAAAAAGCTCCAAAAACGACCAACAATGGAAGAAATAAACCTCAAAATTGTGGACAAGACGCCTATTTAAACCTTCTGCCCAGGCCTGAAATCCTCCATCGCGATAGCGGGACATCCTTCGCGATCGCGAAGCACAAATTCTCAGAACCCACAATTAACCCTATATGAACACGTAAAGTCCCACGCGAACGCGATGCTCAAGCATCCTACTCTACGCGATCGCGGACAGGGGACCGCGTTCGTAAAGAACAAACTCCAAGTCAAAACCCCTGGTCCACTTAACACTACGCGAACGCGACCTTATCCACGCATTCGCGATCAACAAACTCGCCACCTTATGCGATCGCAACTCTACCTTTACGAATGCATAGAACAAACTGGGTTGTCCCCTCAAAAGCTCTACGCGATCGCGAGACCCCCTACGCGAACGCAAAGAGGAAAACTATGCAACAGTTGAAGCTCCAAAATCTGCAACTTTCCAAAGCATGAAATGGTCCGATTGACCACCCGAAACTCACCCGAGGCCCCCGGGACCTCAACCAAATATACCAACATATCCCATAACCTCATTCAAACTTGTTCCAACCTTCAGAATGGTCAAAACAACATCAAAACACAAAATTCGCATCGGATTCAAGCCTAAGAATTCCAAAATCTTCTTAATTATGATTTTGATCAAAAACCCAATCAAACCACGTCTAAATGACCTGAAATTTTGCACACACATCCCAAATGACATAACGGAATTACTGCAACTCTCAGAATTTCATTCCGAGCCCTATATCAAAATCTCACCTATCAATCGGAAATTTACAAAATACCAACTTCGCCAATTCGAGCCTAAATCTACTCCAAAACCCATTCTGATCATGCTCCTAAGTCCCAAATCACCTCCCAAAGCTAACCGAACCATCAGAACTCACATCAGAGCCATCTAAAACACAAGTCAGTGTCTGGTTGACTTTTCCAACCTAAACTCACTCCAAAAAGTCTAAGTGTCTCAAACTTTACCAAAATCATTCGGATTCGATCCAACCAACCCGATATCACAAAATACAAATAACAAAGCATAAAGAAGCAAAAATAGGGAAAACAGAGCGGTAACTAATGAGACGACTAGCTGGGTTGTCACATAACGATTGCATACTTTTTAGGAAAGAGTTTGCTAATAAGAATGTTAATAAATGCAAAGTTTATAGGGCTTCTAGATGGAAAAATGATGCTAGAAAAATTCCAACCAAGGTCCTAAGGTATTTTCCTTTAAAACCAAGGCTGCAGAGATTTTTTATGTCTTCAGAAACTTCTAAAGCAAAATGACATCATGAAGAGCGCAACAAAGATGGAGTTCTACGGCATCCTGCAGATTTTGAAGCTTGGACAAATTTTGATAGTAAATATCCCGAATTTGTTGGAGATCCTCGCAATGTGCGCCTGGGATTAGCTTCTGATGGGTTTAATCCATTTGGCACAATGCGAACTGTACACAGTACATGGCCAGTGATTTTAATGCCATATAATCTTCCATCATTGACGTGCATGAAACAAGAATTCTTCATTTTGTGCTTACTTATTCCTGGACCAAAAGCTCCTGGCAATAATATTGATTTCTTTTTGCAACCTTTAATAGAAGAATTAAATGAATTATGGGATGTTGGTATAGAAACATATGATGCCTCTGCTAAGGAGATATTTCAAATGTGAGCAGGTCTCATGTGGACTATAAATGATTTTTCAGCATATGGTACTCTCTCTAGATGGTGCACTTATGGTCGGTCTGCATGCCCTACTTGTAACATAAACACTCAATCTAGAAGGCTCACACATGGCAGAAAGTTTTGTTACATGGGGCATCGGCGCTTCTTGAAGTCAGGACACAAATATCAGAATGATGCAAAATCGTTTGATGGTACTAAAGAAACAAGACTTGCACCTTGTCCAATATCTGAGTCAGTAGTGTTGAATCAAGTTAAAGAAATAAAATTTACTCTCGTCCAATTGAGTGAAGGGGTAAGTAGAGTGATGAAAAATACATGGAAAAAGAGGAGTATTTTTTTGATCTTCCTTATTGGAAGTCTAACTTGGTGCGCTATAATCTTGATGTGATGCACATAGAAAAGAATGTGTGTGATAACTTAATTTATACATTATTGGATCTTGGTAAAAAGTCTAAATATAACTTAGAAGCTTGATTGGACTTGAAGGAGATGAAAATAAGACCAAGTTTATGGCCTCAATATCGAGCTAGTGGGAAAGCATATCTTCCTCCTACTTTTTTCACAATGTCTCAAAAGGAAAAGGAGTTGTTTTATGAAGTACTAAAAAATGCCAAATTTCCAGATGGCTATGCGTCTAATATCTCACCTTGCATCCACAAACAAAATATATCTGGGTTAAAAACTCATGATTGTCATGTTATAATGCAAGAACTTCTTCCCCTTGCCTTGAGAAGATCAATAGATAAAAAAGTTAGTTTCGTTTTAATTAAACTATGCACATTCTTTCGTATTCTGTGTAGTAAAGAACTAAAAGTAGAAGAGTTAAAGTTACTTGAAGAAAAAATTCTAGAAACATTGTCTACTATGGAGAAACTTTTCCTCCCATGATTCTTTACAGTTATGATACATTTGGTAATTCACTTGGTAACTGAGGCTAAACATGCGGGGCCAGTACATTATAGCTGGATGTACCCAATTGAGAGATATGAAGAATATCACTGAAACTTTATTACATATCTTTAGTTGTTAAATATTATAATATCAAACTAATACCATTATTTTATTCCATAGGTATTTGGCTGCTTTAAAATCATATGTTCATAATCGAGCATGTCCAGAAGGTTCGATAGCAGAAGCATACATAGCAAATGAGTGTATGGCATTTTGCTTACGTTACTTGGAGGGTGGAGATTCAAGGTCTTATTGTTCAAGAAAATGTGGTGATGAGATTAAGCATGAGACTAGTAAAGAAGAATGCCTTTTTCCAACTGTTGGGGAGTTGTACGGTGGAGTAGATATATTTGAGATGGAGGAGAAAACAAGGTTGCAAGCACATCGACATGTGCTTTTCAATTGCGAGTTTGAAGTGGTTGAGAATTATAAAAAGTAAGTGTTATATCTATTATTTAATATTTATATATTACTTAATTGATAACAAAATTAATATATGTGAGCTACATGAATAGGGAACATATTACTGAAATCAAGAGATCACATCGTAAGCGTTGTTTGACTCAACATCAACTTGTTCGTGTGCATTTCGATACATTTAATGAGTGGTTTAAGGATCAAGTAAGTAGTAGGACTAAGTCATTGGTTACGTTAAATTATTTTCCTTGTACAAATATCCACATTTATAGTTGTATCCTTTATTTGGTTAGGTAAAGGAGCTTGAAGCCACATCTAACATCTTCATTGAACAAGGGCCGAGTTACATTGCGAAAAGATTTAATACGTTCGATATAAATAACGGGTATTGGTTTCGAACGAAGCAAAGTGAAGAATTTAAGGTGACACAAAATAGTGGTGTTATGGTCGTTTCAAAGACTGAAAGTTATGCAAGTACAAGTGACAATACTCCAAAGTCTACAAATATCACATATTATGGCAGATTGAATGATATTGTGGAGTTAAACTACTATGAAGAATTTAAGGTTGTCTTATTTAAGTGTGATTGGGTTGATGTAACCAAAGGTAGAGGAGTTAAGGAAGATGATTGAGCTTCACACTTGTGAATTTCTCACGCCTAACAGACTCTGGCGATCGAGAATTTCATGAGCCCTTTATTTTTGCAGAACAAGCTCAACAAGTAATATTTGTACAAGATCCTGAAGATCATGAATGGTTTGTCCCTAGGTTAATTAAACCTCGAGATATTTTTAATGTGGGAGAGGAAAATAGTTTGTAGTTTTAGTCATCAATACAAAGTGATGCCACTGACTTGGGTCTCTTAGAAAAATACTCGATTTCTAGAAGATGAGTATAATAATTGGGTAAGAAGTGGTGCCGATGGGATAGCAATTGATTCAAATGTACATTCTCAAGCTTCTCCAAATGATGGTAAATCTAGTGTTGAGGGAAGAAATGACAATGAAAATGAATATGATTCTGAATAAGATAGGTGGAACTTATAGAATATTTTTCTTTCAAGTGTTATTTAAGAACTTCTGGTGATTTTTTTACTGCAAAAATTTGAATAAATATATTTTTTTGCTTTCAATTTGAGTCATTTTATAGAAGATGCATGTTAGTCAGCTATGGATTTTCCATGTTTGTATTGGTTGATTTGAGTCAATTCTTTGTGCTTTCTTTTACTTATATTTTACTGATTATAGCCATTGTATTGTAATATGCTAAGGTGTTATTATCGCTGGGCAATAGTTTTTGCTGGTGTATCAATACTTTTTATTTCATTTTTTTCCTATTTTGCGTGTGACCTGCTAATTGGTTGGAGTTAATTTGGTACTAGTATAACTTAATGCATCTAGATAATTTCTTTATTTTGGAAAAGGAACTATGCAAACTAGAGGTTGCAACCGACTGGTAATTGAACAAGACTATGATGAAGATGTGAGACCTTATATTGAGCACTTGATGGATGGTCAAAACTACTCTAGAGCCCAGCCATATATTGAGCAATTGATGGATAGTCAGAATTACTCTAACGCCCAAGCACATGATGGTCAATCTAATGAGTTGAATAGTTCTTATGGTGGCACTGAGATTCAACATGATGACGAGTCAGGTAATGCTTCTGTAGTATTGCAATCTGATTATGTATAATATTAGATGATGGTTTTCAACACTGTTTATCCTTGTTTCCTTGTAATGGTTGGATGTTGGTCTTTATTAACAGAAGTTGTAACAATGGTTGGTCCTTTTTAACAAAAGTTGATATTTGATTTACTTTGTGCTTCATTTTGCACTCTTTTCTTAATTACTTTTGCCTAATTTTAAGGAGTCTATATGTCTCCTGATGGATTTTAAAGGCAGATCTAGATACTTAAAATTGTGCTAAAGTTCACTTCTTTATAAGTAGAAGGAAAGAAGAACAAAGGGAAACAACAGCTTGACACAGTTTTTCATCAATTAAAGCAGCAGAATAGAGTTTTCAGAAACAATGAGCTAGAAATTTCCTTATGTGTGAGGATGTTCAACCCTGAAAATGGTATCCACTGTTTGAAACAAAGAACAAAACCTTCAGCTTCTCTTGAGAAAAGAACACACTGAAATCATATGCAATGTTAAACAGTTTAGTAAATGAAAAACCTCAAGTATAGATTCAAATAGTTTGTTCAGACGCCAACTTTAGATTCAAATAGTTAATGAATTTGAAATTTTATTCATGGAATAACACTTGAAAATGGATTTGTTTGTGCAAATGAAAGATTAGGATATCTACTGTTTGGATTGGACTAGTACTGTTAGGATATGACATTTGAATTTGATTGTTCTTAGAGGGAGTATTCTGCTACCATTTTATATGATGTGCATTGCATATCTACTGTTTGGATTGGACTAGTACCAATGAACTAATAACATTGCTTATTTTTAAAGGTCTCTTTCATATGGGAGTATGTTGAAACTAGTTTCTGAAACTTTATGTGTGTAAGGAGGCCAGACAGTTCGGCATGTTCTATGTGCATAAATTTGTTTAATATGTGAATGTACAGTGTAGAACAAGTGGCCTAGGAGTTCCTGTTATAGGCAGCAGCTTATTTACATCTGATCCTTGAACAACAATCTGTGAGTTATGTATTGCATCATCTGGAGAGTTATGATAGCCTTAGGGACAACTTTAATATTTTGGCCATCTCTTTTACCATCTACAACAACTTCACTATGTATTGCATAAACTGGTGATATGCCATTCAGAACTCCCTAAATAGCTATTGCACTACCTAACGTTTTGTTCTCTTTTTCATTCTAGGTAATTCAGAAGCAAAAAAGGTTCATGGGCCTACTTTACTAAAAGATATTTGGAAACTTCCGCCGGGAAAGATAATTGATGTGCCATTTAATAATCGTAACTAAGCTATTGAAAAAGAGGGTCGAAAGCTTGCTAGCTTTCTAGGAATTATCGCCAGAACTAACACCTCTACATGTAGATGATTGGAGAAATTTTGACAACGAAGAAAAGAAGAAATTGGTCAATTTTGCGAGGGTATGGAATAGTTGTTGTTGTTGTTGTTGTTATTATTATTAATTTTTTTTGAACATGCTCTATATTTTATACATGATGTTATCTCATAAATATTGGCTTTTATTTTTTCAGAAGAAATTCTCTATCCCAAAACGTGGAGAAGCGTGGGTCTTAAAGTCACTAGGAAAGAAATGGAAAGATTACAAGTGCAATTTGAAGGGTGAGTACGTGAAAAAACATAAGACTAAAGATGCTTTACTAAAATATAGACCAAGTCGAATACCGAGGGATCAATGGAGGGGTCTTGTCTCTTATTGGCTTTCTGATAAAGCTAAGGTATCAACCTTAAAAATTCTCCTAGTTTTCTCATTTTCATAGCGTTTTGATTTTAGGTATGCTCAATTTTTGTTTAAAGTTTATAAGATATTATTTTAATATTTCAATGATAAAGACGTACCCAAGCAAATAGAAATAATAGGTCCAAGAAAATGATGCCTCACACAGGAGGATCAAAAAGTATTGCCACCTTGATGAATGAGCAGGTAAACCTGTGAAAACTATAAACTATAATATTTTAAACTTTTTTTGTCATGCATATATGATATTATTTTTTTGTATTAGGCTGTAAACGGGATAGAGCCTACACGAGTAGATATTTTCCTATTAACTCATAAAAAACTTAAGGATGGTAGGTCACTTGATGATGATTCTGTCAAGACAATCGTAAGATTTATTCTTTCTTTATTTTTTTGGTTTGATGACTCCGTTAAACAATGTGCATTTTTTCCTATTCATGAATACCAAAGTGGATTTATTGTGTATTCTATGGTCAGGAAATGATAAATGAAAGGATGAGCAATAGTGAAAGATCTACTGAGCAACCTCCTCGTAGTGTTGCTTGGGAAGGCGATGTGTATTCCCAGGTGTTGGGAAATAAAAAAAAAGTGGGTATGTTCGTGGTTTAGGACTTGGTCCAACTCCTTCTGTTCTATGGGGTAGTAGGTCTTTCTTAAGAAATATTGTTGCAGATGATTCTTCTAATGAGGTTATACAAAGGTTAGAACAATAGATAATCGAGTTAAAGGAGAAACAAAATGATGAAATGAATATTATGAAACAAAATCAGGAGAATATGCAATCAGAATTACTCCAAATAAGACAATTAATGCGCAAATATTCTCCTAATGCATCTATGCCTCAAAGCAGCAATGGCACCTTAGCTGAATAGGTAACTCCATTTAATAAACTTTAGATATTTTAAATGAAATTCTAATCATATAAAAGTATTGTTATTTAACATGCTAATATTTTTTAGATCCCCGACGCCAATAGTGGACATGAACGAGTACAACAAACATCAAGAATGCTTAGTGTTGCTGAAAATGATCAACATTCTCATGGTACTACTCACATTTGTCCTTCGTCACTACTGTTTGAGTTTTCCTCCTTTGATTTTTATTAATTTGTTGTTGTATTTGGACTTACCTTAGATGCTTCTTGCTTTATATATTTCCTTTTCTCACTGATGTTGATGTCACAAAGGTTGTGATACAAGCAGGCGGGGCCAGTAAAAAATGCCAATGTTAAAAGGTCGTAATCTGAATCTAATTGCTCCGCTATTGATAGTGAAGATATGGTAAAAGTTTCAGTCAAGTTGTCACATAAGGGTCCACTTCCTAATGGTTTGTGTATATTTGACAATTAAGCGCACTTCCATTCCAAATATATAGGTGCATGTGTGAGAGAAAGTGAACTTGCTATATCAAAGTTAGTCATTATGACACTGACGTTTGCTTTGTATCAGTGATGATCGTTGATGAAGAAGTTCATTCAATATCAAATGTTGTTGTCACTAGCATGCTCTGAAATAAATCACTAGTTTCTAATAGTAGTATATTTCTTGATAAACACTAAATTTATTGCCAAAATGAAATATCCACCATGGATTGTAGTGATGTCAATGTTGCTATGATGCTAACTTATTGATCATGTAGACAGTAGAAATAAGCATCAGATTACGTGAAATTAGGGAAACTGAATTTTCAGAGCTCCAAAGCCCATATAGGGTGGTATATAGAATAGTATAATCAGCATAAGACCAAGGGACCACCAAAAATGATGTTACTTGGACTAATATCTCAGAATGACAAGAGTAATATGTAGTTAAGCTACTAAAATTTCACTTACCATATACTTAGTACCACAGATTTCTTCCTCAGTAGCAGGAACGGCTGTGATCTTATTTTTGGGGTTCTCGTAGCTTCTCAGTTCTCCAACTGATGTAGAGTAAAAACATCCTGAAAATTCAAACAAAAGATGTCGAATTTAAGAAAAGCATAAAGGACAAAGGATATGTTTTATGTTCTGGTTGGATTGATTTCTTGCCTATGTGAATATCAGTTTCTCAGTTATTTATTTACAAACATGTTTCATAGTGTGTGATAGTATGAATGCTTGCTAATCACTTCACTAAAGAGTCACACATTGAAAAAGGTTCACTTCACTTAAGTGATATATTAGTACTGTATGTTTCATATGATATTTGGCGTAGTGAATCTTTAGCTTTAAAATTGAATGCTTGCTAATCACTTCTGTTTTAGTTTTGATCATAGTGTGTGATGGTATTTTCAGCTCAAGTGACAGTTGCCACGGTATAGTAAGAAATCCAATTGTTTGGTTAAAATTTTACATTTGGAAATATTCCTAAAAGCAAATTTTGATTCGTGAAATCTGGAACATTTTGTTTGGTTGTGTAACTTGTATCTCTCTTTCATTTACAATGGGAAACTATATCAGCAGTTTGTTTGTAGGAGTTTAGTTGTAGGAGTTTGTGACTTGTCGAGTTTGAAGCCTCCTTCCAGCACTAGGAATCTGTGAGAAAGAATGAAATTCAGTTGTTCCTGCAAAAGAAAATGCACTGTTAGCTATAACACTAGCCTCCTGTTTCAGCACTTCATGTTTATGGCTAAGTTTAGAGTTACTCAGTTTATTTCTGTTTCTCACATCAAGAATTCCTGTTTCTGTACAACACTCATGGTTGTAGCTTATTCCTGTTTCTGTACAACACTCATGGTTGTAGCTTATTCCTGTTTCTGTATATGTCCAATCCTCAAAGATGGACCAAAGGATATGCTGTTATGTGGTCTGAAGGTGTGAGTCCTTTGCAAACATGAGTGTTTGTTAAATGGCAGTCGAAATAAAATGTGTGATGCATGTTAGTAATGATTGAGAAATTTTAAATAGGTCCTTTAACATAATTATTTTATAATTTCAGGTCATACAATCTAATGTTTAATAATTTAGCGGTTGGAAGATTTCAAAATGATGAAAAGTTGCGGAAATCATTTGAAGACCATCATTCTGGATTATTACTGTGATGACATTAGCTATTTAGTCCAAACAATATATTTTTATGTTTTAAGTTACTGTGATATTAATATTTTTGATTAGTACTTCCTTTTGATTGTTAAGATTTAATGAGATATATTACATCTTTTTGAATTAATATTAATATATTTTATTATTTGGGTCATATTTTATACAAATGTAGTAACTATTATTAATTGTCGCCAAATTATTGATATTATCGCTAGTGACTTTTAAAGATATTGATTTTTAGCGGCAATTTAGTTAAACATATTAGCGATTAAAATGGACGCTAAAAGGGCAAACTAATTACCGTTAAAGATGCGGACTTTTTAGCGACAATTATTTTGAATTTAGTGGCTATAAAAAATGGATGGTAAATAAGTATAATTAGTTGTTTGGATGGATTTAGTAGCCATTATAAAAGCCACAAACAATTGCCATTAGAGATGCGAATTTTTAGCGGCAATTATTTTGAATTTAGTGGCTTTAAAAATGGATGGTAAAGAAGTATAATTAGCCGTTTGGATTGGATTTAATAGCCATTATAATTGCCACAAACAATTGCCGTTAGAGATATGAACGTTTAGCGGCAATTAGTTTGAATGTAGCGGCTATAAAAATAGCTACTATAGAAGTATAGTTGGCCATTTTGGATTGGATTTAGTAGCTATTATTGTGAGCACGTGATTTTTGTTTCGCGCGACAATCGCTCCAAAAGAAATAAAAAATAATAACAATTGGTCCTGCTGTACAATTTTTGGATTTTTACATGGCACTTTATTAATTATTTATGATTTTTTGCCCATTTTTATTTTACTAAAACAAAATACAAAAAATGTATGTGTCATGCATAATTTGAACCGTAATCCGGTTGTTAAAT